CACAAAAAATATCAACTTGGCTAAAGTAAAAATGGCAGAAATAAAATTATTAAATTGGGCTAGGCAAGAAAATAATTAAGAACAAGCAATTGTAAACTAAATTTAGCAATCTTTCATTAAAAAATGACTGGAATTAGATGTATGTAAATTAATTAAACCAGACTAAGCACAGCAATTTAGAATAAAAACTGGGAAATGCAATTGCAAAATTTCATTAAAAAGATTCAACACAACAAGTGGCAATGCAAGAAATATGTATGTAGCACATAAACTGGACACAGGAATGTATATAACTATGGTAAAAAAAAATTATAATATGCAATGTTAAAGGAATAAATTTCAATTTTAGGCCTGGAGGAATTAAAAAAAATTATATTGCACAAATCCTTAAATGCTACTAAAACAAGGATTTCTTACTTCACTGGAATTTGAATTTACCAATAACACTCTAGGAGAACAATTAAAATTCAATGAAATTACTGTAAGAAGCAGGAATGTTTAAATCACACAGGAAAACTGTGGGGAGTGCAGTACTGAACCAGCTCCAATATTTAACAAGTCACTGAATGGTTAATTCACAGGATATTATGGGAATTATTACATAAGTCACTTTTTAACACTTGGCACGTTGTTCTCAACTAGCAATTACTTATCTCAGGGTTGTAATTTATGAGGATCACCAGTAGCCAAAGTAGGAGAAGCGTCGTGAAGATCGGAAGAGGCCCATGTGAGGCGTGTTTACAAACTGGATGCGACGGCAACGCTCCTGGCGGCGGTGGCGCGAGACTCAGGGACCCCACACTGTTCACGCTAGAAGCACGAAGATAAATTCTGACGACGACAATATTGCGACGATGGAATAACCAGTTGATACTTGCGACGATGGCTGACGACGATTGCAGTAGCTTGCACCCTCACGAAGCTTGATACTGTCAGCTTGGGTGGCGGTGGTGGTGGTGGTGGGTGCACTAGGTGGTTCCCACGTGGTGGCGCGAGGTTCAAAAATGGCTGGCGCGGGAAGCTTCCTTCCTCCTCACTGATGAGTGAGCGTTCTCACAGGAAAATATTGACCCTTACTTCTGAAACGTTGGCCTGGAGTAGTGGTTGATGGCAGGACCCCGGTCTGGCACAATATTTGATGCGTGGGTGGCAGGATGGCGGCTTATGGCGGTGGCGGTGGCGGCTGGAACACGAGGCGATGCTGGGTACTTGAACTTTTCTTTCCAGAAAAAAATTTCTGGATCACACTGCTGCTACCAGTATTCGTTTGCCTTGTTCGGGTAGAAGGTAGACACAGTAGTCGCTTCTGTATATATTTATTGACTGAGATTGCAAGGTATATATCTGCCTAGCCGAGGTCCTTCTACTCTCAGCCTGTGAGGATAACTGAGGCTGCTGGGAGCATCGCTGATGCTCCTCTGTCTGGCATGACGTCAGAGGCCTACTCGCCTGTGATTGGTTACATTTCAACTGACAGAATTTGAGTATAACACAGTGACAGTTGGGTGTATGCCTCTCTGGCTGCACCGGTCAATCTTCACTGGACCAGCTGGGCCCATTCCTCCTGTGGCCACTACTTGATACTGGTCACCTTTTCAAAGTGCTCGAAAAAGCTCTCTGCCTCTTCGGGAACAAACAAGGGAATGTCCTTCTCCCTAACGCTAACATCTGGTGAGTGTGATACCGGGGTGGTGCTCTCTGGCAACCCATGTTCAATCCTTTGTTCAGCCAAGGTACTGTTCGCTTCTATCTGCATTTGTTTTGTTCTCTCTTTTTCCTTTTCGACCTGGGCTTTTTCTTTCCCCACCTCTAGTCTTGCTTTCTCTACTTCCAGCCTGGTTTTCTCTTTTTCCTTCTCGGCTTCATTTTTCATCTGGAGTTCTAATTTCATCTTTTCCAGCTGGAACTGTCTCTCCTCACGCTGCATCTGGAGCTCTAACTGGAATCTCTCCAAGCTCCTATTTCGGCTACTCCTGCTACTGCGGCTACTCTTGCTGCTCGTACTCGATCCCTGGGATCTCACTTCATCCTGCTATCATCCTCCTTTCCACTTTCTGCTCCTCTTTGGGCTCCTTGCTCTGCCGCTTCACTTTTGGCTCTCAACTGCCTCAGGATCTCATCCTTCATCCCAGCTACTTTAGATGCTTTCAACCTGATGCCACATTTTTCTGCTATTTGTTTTAATTGATCCCTCGTGCAACCTTCCAAGTCCTCAGGCTTGCCTGACTCCACAAACGCTTGCACCTTATCCATCTTTGTCCTGTGAGTCTTCCCGAGAGAGAGAGAGAGAATATACACCTGCGGTCACACAGTTTATCTATTTCAACAAGGGGTGTACCAATCCACTCTTGGACAGGGTGTGGGTGTGTCAGTTCATTCTCCCGGACACAGGCCCCCAATTTATTGTAGATTGTGGGATGGTGGTGTTGTCGTGTTGTTGATCCTTCTTTACGGACAAACCAACCCACAACTCGGTAGAGTGCTTATACTTCACTAGGAGATCACACTAGGCGCTTCTGGCTCTTGGAGAGGGGCTCAACGTCACACGTTTAGGGGATGCGGCTCCAACAATTAGCCTCGTTGTCACGTGCACACACCCACTCGAGCCGCTGTGACTCCCCACTCACTCCTTATGTGAAATGATCTCCTCAATCCCCTTTAACTTACTAATTTTCCATCCTACCCTATCCACAGTAGTGGTTCTTGGTTCTTTCTCTCTCTCTCTCTCTCCTTCTGTACTATTTCATGGGAAGCCTCACTAGGACAAGGTCAAACACCAGCAAATTTTAATACATTTACTGGACAAAGCACATACACAATACATATACACATATAATAATTATGAATCCTACTCTCTATGCTATTTCGGTCAGGTTGCACTCCAACACCATCAGAACTCTATCATCAGCTTCTCAAGTGGTATCCTATCTCCTGTTTCACCACCTAATATTACCAACCTCCTCAAGTAGGTCAAGTCCTATAATACAATGTTGCACTATCAGCAAGAGAATATATATATCTATAAACATGTACAAGGAAAATCAGGGTATGAGTGAAATAACATATATAAATCAGTATAAATGTTCCTTGATATATAACAATGATCAATCGATCACCCTGTCAGTCCTAGAACACATACATCTGTAGGTAATCCAGCCTACGACTGTAACTCTATACTTCAGTATAAACATTCCTTGGACAAAAATGGCAAACAATCACTCACCTCTTACTGAGTCTTGCACGCTAATGACAAACACTCTAATGCCTCCCTACAAGTAATCATTTAGAACTTCCCTTCCACATCTGGAAGTTCACTACCCTGATCTCTTCAGGTTCTTCCGGGTTTAACTACCAGGATCCTCTGCAGCACTTCTTTGCTGCTACACATGAAGTTTCCCTTGAGCAACTATGGAGCTTCACCACTTCCACTAGGGTCCTCCACAGCTCTCCTGGTTGCTACACCATGAAGTTTTCCTTGGGCAACTATGGTGTTTCACCACCTCTACAGAAACACGTGACACTCCTCTTCACTGCTTCTCCTCACAGCTCGGGGTTCTCTCCTCCACTTCCTTGGAGTCTCATCAACTACTCCCTCTGTGTTGACTTCGAAGTTCTCAACAATTTCTTCCCCAAAGACAAACCTGCGACCCATTGACACTCCAATAAAAATGTATCCCCTTAAACCCTTAAACAAAAATAATCACACAATATGTTTGCCTCCAACATCTATCAGCTCTCTACATACTGTGAGTGGACTCCCCCGTTGGGCTGGTCCATGGCGGGCAGCCCCTCAACTCTGGGAGGATCCTCCGCCGCCAGTCAGTGTGCTTCAGGCGGTCGACGGGAGGGGACGTGTTGCTCGTCCCTCGAGCTGTCTCTCTTATCTCTGTCCTCTCATTTAGGCTTCCTGCCTTACCAAAACATTTCTAACTTATCAATAAACATTCGCAACTGTCGTTGGGCACACGACGAACTACAAGTAATCACTATAAACTGGCTTATATCGGGCTTACCACAGATTGTCTAGTCGAGGGCGCTATCCCTCTGACGGCGTCTGGTCAGGGTGCTCCCATATCTCACGTAAATGTCTCTGGGCAGCTTAATGTTCTCTCCTCGCCGTCCAGGACTTGAGACCACAACTTCCCAGCTCGATTCCACAGCTGGCACGTCTGCACACTTCTCCTTTCTTGGAGATATATCACTAGGGGTTCCTTTCTGATGGGAGCTCAAACGGAGCACGGCTTTCCCCTGCGATGTCGGGCACTCAAGTGAGCTCAAAGCCCTCCAGAAGCGAGCCTCATGCCTCCAGCAAATTATCCACATCTCCTAACCAGTCATTTATATATTTTCTTATTCACTGCCCATAATCTCAAACTGTTCATCAAATCCAACCAGCTATTTTACATCGGTGTCTTCACCTCCATATTTCCCAGACCTTATAGTCAGGTCAGGCTTGATAGAATAATTCTCAAAGGGGAGACTCGTTTTTCGGCTACCTGGGATCATGACATTGGGCACCATTCCTTTCCACCCGTCCCATCCCAAATCCTTCTCCTGACCCCTTCCATGTGCTATATAGTCGTAATGGCTTGGCGCTTTCCCCTGATAACTCTCTTCCCTCCCTCCTCTTCTTTCTTCTTTCTTCTTCTTTTCTTTCTTCTCTTCTTTCTTCTTTCTTTTTTCTCCCATGGGTCTTTATGAAGCGACCTGGGGTCCAGTGGGGTTTGCCCGTCCAGGGGTCCATCCTGGGTAGACCAATTTTGGTAGGACAGACGGGTGTTGTTGTTGATCCTCTCTTGTGGTGGCAATGCCATGGCTGGTGGTCACGATGCAATAGCTGGTGGTCACGATTCCATGGCTGGTAGCGATGATATCATGGTTGGTGGTGACGATGCCATTGCTGGTGGTGACGATTGCATTGCTGGTGTTGACGATACCATAGCTGGTGGTTGATGCCATGACTGGTAATGACGCTGTACCTGGTGGTGACGCAATGGCAGGTGGTGACACCATAGCTGATGATGATGCAATGGCTGGAGGTGCTGACATGGCTGGTGGTAACGAAATGGCTAATGGTGACGCCATGGCTGGTGGTGACGCAATGGCTGCTGATGTCGCCATGTCTGATGGTGACTTCATTGCTAGTGGTGATGCCATGGCTCGATGTGATTCTATGGCTGGTGGTGATGCTATTGCTGGTGGTGATGCCATGGCTGGTGGTGATGCCATGGCTGGTGGTGACGTCAAGGCTGGTGGTGATGCCATGGCTGGTGGTGACGCCATGGCTGGTGGTGATGCCATGGCTGGTGGTGACCCCATGGCTGGTGGTGATGCCATTGTTAGTGGTGATGCCATGGCTGGTGGTGATGCCATGAGTGGTGGTGATTCCATGGCTGGTGGTGATTCCATGGCTGGTGGTGATTCCATGGCTGGTGGTGATGCCATTGCTGGTGGTGATGCCATGGCTGGTGGTGACGCCATGGCTGGTGGTGATGCAATTGCTGGTGGTGATGCCATGGCTGGTGGTGATTCCATGGCTGGTGGTGATGCCATTGCTGGTGGTGATGCCATGGCTGGTGGTGACCCCATGGCTGGTGGTGATTCCATGGCTGGTGGTGATTCCATGGCTGGTGGTGATTCCATGGCTGGTGGTGATGCCATTGCTGGTGGTGATGCCATTGCTGGTGGTGATGTCATGGCTGGTGGTGACCCCATGGCTGGTGGTGATGCAATGGCTGGTGGTGATGCCATTGTTGGTGGTGATGCCATGGCTGGTGGTGATGCCATGACTGATGGTGATTCCATGGCTGGTGGTGATGCTATGAGTGGTGGCGATTCCATGGCTGGTGGTGATTCCATGGCTGGTGGTGATTCAATGGCTGGTGGTGATGCCATGAGTGGTGGTGATGCCATGGCTGGTGGTGATTCCATGGCTGGTGGTGATTCCATGGCTGGTGGTGATTCCATGGCTGGTGGTGATGCCATTGCTGGTGGTGATGCCATGGCTGGTGGTGACCCCATGGCTGGTGGTGATTCCATGGCTGGTGGTGATTCCATGGCTGGTGGTGATTCCATGGCTGGTGGTGATGCCATTGCTGGTGGTGATGCCATGGCTGGTGGTGACCCCATGGCTGGTGGTGATGCAATGGCTGGTGGTGATGCCATTGTTGGTGGTGATGCCATGGCTGGTGGTGATGCCATGACTGATGGTGATTCCATGGCTGGTGGTGATGCCATGAGTGGTGGCGATTCCATGGCTGGTGGTGATTCCATGGCTGGTGGTGATTCCATGGCTGGTGGTGATGCCATGAGTGGTGGTGATGCCATGGCTGGTGGTGATTCCATGGCTGGTGGTGATTCCATGGCTGGTGGTGATTCCATGGCTGGTGGTGATTCCATGGCTGGAGGTGATGCTATTGCTGGTGGTGATGCTATTGCTGGTGGTGATGCTATTGCTGGTGGTGACTGTTATGGCCCTCTCGGGACGCAACGGGGTCCTTACTCTGATGTTGTTAGAGGAAGATATATATACACAGCAAACAATTTTAGGTTGCCACAACATATCTGGAAAGTATTTGAAAGTATTGGAAACGTTTGTTTTGTCGTATCAGATACGATATTGTGTGTGGACTTAAATAGGTTTCCAAAACTTATAACCAAGACATATGTATCTAACACTAATTTGAGATGTTGTGGCAACTTTACACTCCTAACATGAGTCATTCATAATCCATTCATATACCAATATGAATCTCTTATGAAAGGTTTGAGCCAATAATCTGAACCCTTTTCACATCTTTGTGTTTAAAGTTAAATTTCTTGAAATTAAATTATATTTTATATTATATTATTTTTATTATATTTTATATTATATTATTATTTTCAATTTAAATATTAAAACCATTTAAGGGTAAAAAATCTAATAATTTATATTTCTTTTATTATTTACTAACAATTATAATTATTTACTAACGGAGAGAGGGGAGGCTGTACGGCGGAGAGTGGCGGCTGTGGCGGACAGTGGCGGATAGTGGCGGCGGGCGGACAGTGGCGGCGGGCGGACAGTGGTGGCGGTGGCGGATAGTGGCGGCGGGCGGACAGTGGCGGCGGTGGCGGATAGTGGCGGCAGGCGGACAGTGGCGGCGGGCGGACAGTGGCGGCGGTGGCGGATAGTGGCGGCTGTGGCGGATAGTGGTGGCGGGCGGACCGTGGCGGCTTTGGCGGCGGTGGTGGACAGTGGCGGCGGGCGGACAGTGGCGGCGGCGGGCGGACAGTGGCGGCGGCGGGCGGACAGTGGCGGCGGCGGGCGAACAGTGGCGTCGGCGGGCGGACAGTGGTGGCGGCGGGCGGACAGTGGCGGCGGTGGTGGATACCCAGCAAACAATTTTAGGTTGCCACAACATATCTGGAAAGTATTTGAAAGTATTGGAAACGTTTGTTTTATCGTATCAGATACGATATTGTGTGTGGACTTAATAGGTTTCCAAAACTTATAACCAAGACATATGTATCTAACACTAATTTGAGATGTTGTGGCAACTTTACACTCCTAACATGAGTTATTCATAATCCATTCATACACCAATATGAATCTCTTATGAAAGGTTTGAGCCAATAATCTGAACCCTTTTCACATCTTTGTGTTTAAAGTTAAATTTCTAGAAATTAAATTATATTTATATTATATTATTTTTATTATATTTTATATTATATTATTATTTTCAATTTAAATATTAAAACCAATTGAAGGGTAAAAAAAATCTAATAATTTATATTTCTTTTATTATTTACTAACAATTATAATTATTTACTAACGGAGAGAGGGGAGGCTGTACGGCGGAGAGTGGCGGCTGTGGCGGACAGTGGCGGCGGTGGCGGATAGTGGCGGCGGGCGGACAGTTGGCGGCGGGCGGACAGTGGCGGCGGCGGGCGGACAGTGGCGGCGGGCGGACAGTGGCGGCAGTGGCGGATAGTGGCGGCGGGCGGACAGTGGCGGCGGTGGCGGATAGTGGCGGCGGCGGACAGTGGCGGCGGTGGCGGATAGTGGCGGCTGTGGGCGGATAGTGGCGGCGGGCGGACCGTGGCGGCTTTGGCGGCGGTGGTGGACAGTGGCGGCGGCGGTGGTGGACAGTGGCGGCGGGCGGACAGTGGCGGCGGCGGGCGGACAGTGCGGCGGCGGGCGGAAAGTGCGGCGGCGGGCGGACAGTGGCGGCGGCGGGCGGACAGTGGTGGCGGCGGGCGGACAGTGGAGGCGGCGGGCGGACGTGGTGGCGGCGGGCGGACAGTGTGGCGGCGGGCGGACAGTGGTGGCGGCGGGCGGACAGTGGTGACGGTGGCAGACAGTGGTGGCGGTGGCAGACAGTGGTGGCGGTGGCGGACAGTGGTGGCGGTGGCGGATAGTGGAAGCGGGCGGACAGTGGCGGCGGCGGACAGTGGCGGCGGTGGCGGATAGTGGCGTCGGGCGGACAGTGGCGGCGGTGGCGGATAGTGGCGGCGGGCGGACAGTGGCGGCGGGCGGACAGTGGCGGCGGTGGCAGATAGTGGCGGCGGGCGGACGTGGCGGCGGGCGGACAGTGGCGGCGGGCGGACAGTGGTGGCTGTGGCGAATAGTGGCGGCGGGCGGACCGTGGCGGCTTTGGCGGCGGTGGTGGACAGTGGCGGCGGGCGGACAGTGGCGGCGGCGGGCGGACAGTGGCGGCGGCGGGCGGACAGTGGCGGCGGCGGGCGGACAGTGGCGGCGGCGGGCGGACAGTGGAGGCGGCGGGCGGACAGTGGAGGCGGCGGGCGGACAGTGGAGGCGGCGGGCGGACAGTGGTGGCGGCGGGCGGACAGTGGTGGCGGCGGGCGGACAGTGGTGGCGGCGGGCGGACAGTGGTGGCGGCGGGCGGACAGTGGTGGCGGTGGCAGACAGTGGTGGCGGTGGCGGACAGTGGCGGACAGTGGCGGCGGTGGCGGACAGTGACGGCGGTGGCGGACAGTGGCGGCGGTTGGCGGACAGTGGCGGACACTGGCGGCTGTGTCTGGCGGTGGTGGCGGGCGGTGGCGGGTGGCGGCGTCTGTGATGAGTGGTGGCGGCTGGCGGTGGTGGGTGGTGGCGGCGGTGGGGTGTGGGTGGTGGTGGCGGCGGTGGTGTGGGTGGTGGTGGCGGCGGCGGCTGGTGGGTGGTGGCGGCGGTGGTGTTGGTGGTGGGTGGCGTGCGGCGGCTGGTGGTGGTGGTGGGTGGTGGCGGCGGCGGCTGGTGGTGGTGGGTGGTGGCGGCGGGTGTGGGCGGCTGTGTGGGTGGTGGCGGGCGGTGGCGGGCGGTGTCGGGCGGTGGCGGGCGGCGGCGGCTGTGGTGGGTGGTGACGATCGGCGGTGGGGGGGCGGTTGGCGGGTGCGGGTGGGTGGGGTGGTGGCGGGTGGCGGCTGGTGGTGGGTGGTGGTGGCGGCGGCGGTGATGGGTGGTGGCGGCGGCGGTGGTGGTGGGTGGTGGTGGTGGTGGCGGCGGCGGCGCGGTGATGGGTGGTGGCGGCGGCGGCGGCTGGTGGTGGTGGTGTGGTGGTGGTGGGTGGTGGCGGCGGCGGGTGGCGGTGGTGGGTGGCTGGTGGCGGGTGGGGCTGGTGGTGGGTGGTGGCGGCGGGTGGTGAGTGGCGGTGGTGGGTGGCGGTGGCTGGTGGCGGGTGGTGGCGGGTGGCGGCTGGTGGTGGGTGGTGGTGGCGGGTGGTGAGTGGCGGTGGCTGGTGGCGGGTGGCGGCTGGTGGCGGGTGGCGGCTGGTGGCGGGTGGTGGCGGGTGGCGGCTGGTGGTGGGTGGTGGCGGGTGGCGGCTGGTGGTGGGTAGTGGCGGGTGGCGGCTGGTGGTGGGTGGTGGGTGGCGGGTGGTGGCGGTGGGTGGTGGCGGTGGCGGCGTGGTGGTGGGTGGTGGCGGCGGGTGGTGAGTGGCGGTGGTGGGGTGGCGGTGGGCGGTGGCGGGTGGCGGCTGGTGGTGGGTGGTGGCGGCGGCGGCGGTGATGGGTGGTGGCGGCGGCGGTGGTGGTGGGTGGTGGTGGCGGCGGCGGTGATGGGTGGTGGCGGCGGCGGCGGTGGGGTGGGTGGTGGTGGTGTGGCGGCGGCGGCTGGTGGTGGTGGGGTGGTGGTGGGTGGTGGTGGCGGTGGTGGTGGCGGGTGGCGGCTGGTGGCGGGTGGTGG